TTATGTGATACAGTTTTGTTCTTGCTTATTATTTTATTCTAAATATATGATACAAATCAAATATTTCAATAGGTGATTTTGCTAAAAATGGGTTAAGTACATTGGAGGTTCTTAAAATATACACTCTATTATTTTGGTCCCAATATTTCCATTGCATCCCTAAAGTAAAACATTTTCTGTGGTTCTCTCATTTTTAACGCCGTCCAAATAAGTGACAGAATTGGAACATGTGCATCTCACGTGAGTGTTCAACAAGGGCAATCAATGGGAAAAAAAACTATTTTTTTTTTATTTTGGGTAAGTTACACTTATGAACTACACCTTTTTTCTACTTTTTCTTTTTCTGCTCAATTATTAAATTTTTAACATTGCACTCTCAACTATATCATTAGTTTGACATTGCCCCACTTATCAACGTTTGTTACATATTTAACAAAAATTTATTTTATTTTGCCCTCCAAATTACATAATTTTTTTCACTTTACACTAACACGTCGGCGATTTCCTCCAAAAAGATAACAGACGTTTGCAATTAGGGCAACATGAAATAGCAGTGTTAATTTAGGGTACAATGTGAGAAACTTGATAGTTGAGGGGCAAAATGAAAAATGAGTGATAGTTCAAGGAAGTAAGTGTAATTTACCTTTTTATTTTCCACCCTTCTTCTTCCCTATTCCCTATTTTTTCCCCCACGTCATCTCTCTTTCCACCCAAAACCACAACTACCGCTGCCCAATCCACAAGCAACCGGCAGTTCCCTTCCCTTACTCATGCCTTACCAACCCTCTGTAGAGAGGAAAAAAAAGCTTCAAAGCAGCAAAGAAAGGGAAAAAAATCAGATAGAATGTTCACTGCAATTTCAAGAATGGTTTGAAGTTTTAGAGAAAAAAACAGAAGGGATAGAGAGGGAATTCAATTTCAGAAAAGAAGGGGAAGAGAGGGAGTGGCATCTTCATGAATTCAATTTCAAGAGTTGAATGTAATGCATCATAAGGAATCTGAACAGTTGGTGCACTCACCCACACCCACAACAGCTGAACAGTTGAATGTCTACACAAAACAGGGCACACAGTCTCCCCCCTCCTCTTTTTCTCTTTCCAATTCTCCCTCTTTGTTCACCCATCATAATCACCATATCTAACACTCACTCTCTCTCTCTGTGCCCCCCTCCTCTGCACAGAACACAGGCTACTGTTGCGATCACCAAACCACTACCTGCTCCATTCAAACCGACACCACCGTTTCACTACTACCAGTCCCATATGCTCATTATGCCCTTCGGAGCAAGGCCATTGCACCAAGCTAAGATGGCCTACAAGGTTCCTCAATCAACCTAATAAGCCATAGTGGAAAAATTATTGCCTGCAATGAAAAAAAAAAAAAATCAAGGGGAAAAAAAAAACTCGTTGCATTCCTATCGAAACAAGGACAAGGAAAAGGAAAACATGCATTCTTAATGACATTTATGTATCGGTGCTAGGACTACAGAAAAACATGAACTCCCCAAAAGTCAAGTGTAACGAATACCAACGCAATCTAAGCATTGTGTTCAAACCACTTGCCAGAGTTGTCTGACCTTGTTTTCTTACAATGCCTAGACATTCTTATAGGAAGGCATCCACCCCATGACACAGATATAAGGATTAAGCATTAAAAATAAGCAAGCAATATACAGAAGATCTTCAAGTAGCATAATTACAGTGGGAAAATCAAATTAAAAAAAAAAACCTAGACTGGAACCAAAGTCCCAATTTGAGATAAAAAAATCAGAAAATTAACATGGCTCTGCTCCAAAAACAAAAACACCATCACAAAACATTGAATGTTGCATTTCAACTCAATCAGACACAGAATATTTACCTGTTCATGCAGCCGTCTCATATGCCAACGGAACAAGAGAAAGCGAAAGGAGGAAACATATAGAAGGACAAGACTAAGAGGGATTGGAAGACGGAGAAGACAATATTACGATGGCAGAGAAAGAGGTGTCTGTTGGTTGATAATTCGTTAAAACGGTGATACACTAGTTAAAAAAAATAAAATAGTGATATCACGAAATAATGTTGATATCGTATTATCAATTAATAATATTAAAATAAATAATAATATCAAAACAAATAAGTAAATGGTGCCACTAAAATTAATACCTAAATAAATAACTACTCAAGTAAACTTTACCTTATTCACTTGGTGGTTTATAATTAGTTAGTGATACTATGTCAGCATTTCTGACATAATATCACTGTTGCATTTAATATTTATTTTTTTTGGAGGAAGACAAAAGTGTAATACTGCACAAATTTACAAAATTGACTAAATAATGAGACTGTTATATTCGTCATGGGAAATGTTATTTGGACTTCAAATATCTGCTTGATAATCACAACTATTGAAATAGGTAGTAAATCTCAATAATTTATTGGTTATTAGAACTTACTACCCATTCAATGATAGTGATTTATCAAATCAAGTTTTTAAATTAATTTTTTAAATATATTTAACATTTTCCAAGACAATATTAGAATGTACGGAAGAGAAAGAGGTATCTAAGATGTAAGGGTGTTAAAGAGTTTTAATATTAATTTTATATAAAAATTTGAATTAAAAATAGAGAAAGATTAAAGGATGGAACATGATACAATTGACGTTGTAATCTTGAGTACGGTTAAAATATGAAATTAATTTTTTTTAATTTTGTTGACATTTGTAAATAATAAAGACAAAGATGTACATTGTTGCCAATTAGGTCATGTGTGCACCATGGCCCCATTTTGTACCATCATTTGCCATTATATACCGCGTGGATCAGATGTACATCTGGGTATCACTTATCTACCTATTTATCTGTATTTATACTACGAATAAAAGAAAGTTAAGTGAAAAATTTTTAATTAATTAAAAATCTTTCCACAGGGCTCTTCAGTACATGCTTATGTTAGTTAGTCCGACAGACATGTCCCTCTTCCATTACAAGCTCTAGCTTTTTGTTGAAGATAATCTTGTTATGACAAGTTGGATCAAAGCATTTTTATCTACTGCATGATTTATACCAAGCACCCGATAATTCTTGCTACTTCTACTCAAAGGTGATCTCTCACTTCCCCTCTCAGTTTCCAGAGATTGATATAACTTATGAATGGAGGGTTGATTAATAATACTATGTACTGATTTTATATTGTGTTTTTGCAGGTATATTGGATTGAATTAAAGTTTATGTCAATCTGAAAAGGTATGAGTGGAAGACCTTATACTTGTATTTACAAGGGCATTGTGTGTTACGTAAAAAGGCATTGCAAATCTGAAGGGCATTCTAGAAGTACTCCCAAACCACAGTTGAGGACAATATGATGCTCTAACAATGTCCATCTATATCTTAGTATATATGTTAATTCTTTTATTAGTTTTCTGGTTAAATTTGGTCATGTTATGTAGTATTGTTTCCCTCAGTTTTAGGTACAAAACCGTCATGTTATGTAGTATTGTTTCCCTCAATTTTAGGCTCCTACTCTAAGTTATGAGGATGGACTCAACATTTTCCGTATGCATATCGGGCCTAAATCTAATTTGATTACTTGTCTGACAAGTTATTATCGAAATAAAAGTCTGAGTCTGGTACAAATTAAAAAATTAGAGCCTAACACGAATACAAGTTTAAGTCTTGTAAAAACATATTTTTCATTTCCAAAAACGATCAAATTATTTACTTTTGCTTGAAAATCTAATCCCAATTTTAATAGGAAAATCTTTTTAAGACTACTATGACTCTTTACCGCTTAATGAAAATGTAAATTTTCGTCAGTTTCTGCTACAAATGGAAGGGTTACTCTTTAACAGTTTCTATTAAAATGACATAGGTCTTATAATAAAAAGTTGATTCAACTAGAAAAATTTTCCTTGGTAAAAGTGGGACATTCTTCGGTAAAATGCTTCCACTTGGATTTTTTTTTTTTTTTTTTGTTGCAATGGTTGTTAAAAACATTTACCGACAAAATTCGATTTCCAAGGTAAAAGCACACATTTAGATAAAAATTGACTGAAAATTTGTGGTTAATTAAATTAAATCCTAGGCAAAAAGGGTAAATAGGAATTCAATTGCTTACAAAAATTTTGTCATTGAAAGTGTGATCTTTTCTAGATCAAAAAAGAAAAGAGTATGATCTTTTCTTAGGAAAATGTTTTCGGGGGTAAAACCATTACCTTTTTTTATGGGTGAATTACACTTTGTACCCTAAAAAATTTCAAAATTTTCACTTTGTACTATCAAAGATTAATGTTTTTACATCACACTCATCAAAAGTGTGTTGCAATGTAAGCGTTCTGGTTAAATTTTCATTAGATTTTTCGTCAATGTCAATGGATTGACTTTTGACAAAAAAATAATTGAAACTAACAAAATGGTTACATTGCAACACTTTTAATACATTGAGGGTGTAATATAAAAAATTTAATCTTTGAGAGTATAAAATTAGAATCTTGAAATCTTTCAGGGTGCAAAGTGCGAAATTTAATTTTGAAAAAAAATAATAAAATTTATACAAGATTAAACTACTCAAAAATAAACTAAAAAGTTGGACAGGTAAATAAAATAAAGCCGCTGTATTAAACATTTAGGAGATTGTTCAACACCAGCGCTGTGACAACAAACAACACAAACATAGTTCAAAAAAAAAAATACTAAATCCCCTATAGCATTTTGGATTGTATCATTTTCTGTACATATCGTATTTGTGTAAACCACGAATCAAAAATTATAAGACCTATGTCATTTTCTCTTTCAACCAAATTCATTTGTTACGAGTCTTTCATAAACTACAAATCGACTTGAGACAAAACCAAACCGTATCAAATCAAAAATCTTTCAATTATAAAAAAAATTCAGACAATATTAATTCATGAAATTAAAAAAAAAAAAACTAATGCATGTTAAACGGGTTATTGGAATTTAACACTCACTTGACCAACAAACACAAATAGCAGTTTTTTTTTTTTTTACTGGAAATTTAGTGAACAGGCATGGCAAAGCGGCATAGGGGACACAAGCTACTCTTCTCCAACCATCGGGCAATGCAATTGCCATGAAACATATGCGAGCATGGCATGCGAGTGACCTCCAACCCCGCACAAAACGTCTCCAAACAAATTGCACATTCTCTTTTTGAACAAGAATCATCGAGTTTGAGTGTCACCTTCTTCAATACTTCAATAGATGATTTCGTTGCTGATCTGATAGAAGCAATTTCCTCCTCCTCGTCCCTGTCACTTGAGGGTACGATAAAAAGTACTCTAATTTTCACGATTATTGAGAGTATGTTTCTTTCCATATTCTGAGAATTGTGTACCATCGAAAGCCCCAAATCGAAAGCATTATCTATGATTTCCTCAACGAAGTCTAAGGGTAAGTATGGGTCAACAATGGAGATATTGGTTAAAACAATTATGTGGTGGGGGATCTGGAAAAGTAAGTGGATGACAATTATAAATAGGCAGTAATTATTCCCCAATTTGTTTCTAACTAGGTTTCCTAATAGGCTAAGGAATCCTTTCCTTAATGGTATAATTACGTTTTGACAAGAGAATGTGTTCAAGATAGTTTAGAGTCTTTAGAGTAATGCTTAGGCATTGTTCAAGAGAGTTTTTTTTTATTCTTCTTTTGGGTAAAATACACTTTTAGTCCTCAAATTATATGTGTAGTGTCAATTTGTTTCTCAATCTTTCAATTGTGTTTATTTGATCTCTAAATTTTTTAATTTGTATCTACGTACTCTACTCTCAAACGTTCGTCAAAAAATTGTTAATAGCTTTGCTCACGTGTCAATCACCTAAAATGGGACAATGAGGTTTGAACCCGATCTTAAAATTCAACAATGGGGGTGTGGTCATTATGTCGTCCTATATTAGAGTTTGGAAAATCAGGAAGTATAATACAAAATTCCAAATGATAGGTCTGGGCCAGGTGAATATGGTCTATGGGCTAGATTTTATGCTCTCCCCACCCTATTCTGGACCATCCCAAATATTTATCTTCTAGAAAATCCAACTTCGCAAGATGCTCACTACCCACAATGGCAAAGAAAGTCAAAATGAACGCTCTAGTTAAAATCAGAAAAACTTCACAAAAACTACACTTTTTTTTACGGCATCTCCAACTAATGACTTAAATTTAAATTTAAATTTGAGTCTAATTTAAATAAAAAACTTAATTTAATATAAATCATTCCAATTGATAAACTTAAATATCTACTCAAATCTTTTAAAAATTTCCTTATTGTCCCAAATGTTTTTTTTTAGTTTTTCCCACCAAAATATTTTATCAAATATTAAAACTTATTTCTTACAAACTTCACTAATATTAACCAAAATAAAAGACAAGAATACCAACCTCTTTAACTGGTAGATTCATAAATTTTTTACCAAGTATGAGATACAAGAGAGAGTTTATGAGAGGGAAAAAAAAAGGTAAAAAAGGGGAGAGAGAGAGAGTAAAAAGTTACCGTCGAAGAATAGAGGCAGAGAGGGGGAAGATGCAAGAACTTCTGCCGTGGAATGAGTCTTTTGGGTTAAGATAGATAAAAAAAAAATTCAGAAAGTGAGCTGATATGTATTGATAAAAGATTAAAAACATGTACATAAGAGAGGGTTGCCCTCCATCAATAGTAGGCATCACCTACTGCTCCAGCAACATGGAAACAAAACACCAAAAAGACAATACCAATACCAAGTTACCAAATTTCGAGGAAAGTGCCAGCCTTGAAGCTAGCACTTTCAAGAGAATCTTGTTTCTAAGGCATCAGTTAGAACAATTACAAAAGCATAGAGGCACAAGTCACCTTATGCACGAACTAGACAGACGCCACATTTGAAATAACCACATGTTCAACTGATAGGTTTTGAACTTGGCCGAAGACATTCTGTCCCCAACTGTCTGCACAATGAGGTTTAACAAGGACTTGTGGTCTCTCACTTGGTTTTGATGGATTCTGTTATTTCGTTCCCTCCATAAATAATACATATTCACAGCCAAACAAAGTCTTCTCAACACACTCACCATGGATTTGCCCTTCAAGTTTTGGATCGCATGACTTACCAGATGCTACCAAGAGTTAAGTTGTCCTTGCTCACCAGTGAGCTGAAGCAATTGTCTCCGTATGCTCCATGAGAAATGACATTCAAAAAATATATGAGAATGGGTCTCATCAGCTTGTCTACATAGAACACATTCCATCCCCATATTATTTGTATAAACTTGAGTTCTCTCCTTTGTGCAAAGCCTTGTTCTAATAGCTAGCCAAAGAATAAAGCTCATCCTAGGAATAGCTTGGTTATACCACACCAAATGAACCCAAGGCACTTTAGGAGAATGAACTCTCACTTGATCCTAGGCAGAGGTTAAGGAGAAAGTGCCATTTGGGGCAGGAATCCATTTATCAACATCTCATCTTTCCTGACATGGTTGGTAAGTGGGCATGGTTTGTTCAGTTTCCCGAAGTTCAACAGTTCCTGTGTGAGGCCATTGCCATAGATTATTCCTTACAATGTTGCTAACCTTTGCATCCCTTGGTAATTCTGAAACCTGAATTATATTACTACTCCATTTCAACAAAAGGGGACCCCGAGGATGATGCCAGTTATCGTGCCAGAGGATAGTGTTTTGTCCATCTCCAACGCTGTGAAGTATTTGGGTTCTACAAACTGTTCTTAGCTTCAACAAATTAAGCCAGTTCCATGAGCAACTTTGTGGAATCCTAACCTCCCATAGACTCTTGCCTTTGAGATAATAAGAGTTAATCCACTTGGCCCACAAACCTTCTTTGTCAATGAATAACAACCATATGAATCTCAGCATATAAGCATTATTGCAGTCCCTTATTTTTCTTATACTTGGACCACCTTCATCTTTTGGCTTGCAAACATCAACTTTAGCTCCTGAGGCCCTTTTTTTTTACCCATTCCAAAAGAAAGCTCTCATGATTTTCTCAATTATGTCAATCACTTGCTGGGGGAGGTATAAAATGGAAGCCCAGAAAATTTGGGTGTTGTTAAGAACTGACTTAATCAATTGTAGTCTACCAGCAAAAGATAGAAACTCGTTTGTCCAACTTCTAACCCTTGACTCAATCTTCTCAATCAATAACGTACAATGAAGGGCTTTGAGTAAAGTTGTCACCAAAGGCAGCCCCAAATACTTGATTGGAAAGTTGCTTTCTGGAAATCCAATCATCACAATTATTTGACTTCTAATTTCCTCCAGGACAGCTGCTAAGAAGACGTTACTTTTTGCTGAGTTTGCTCGCATACCATAAAATTCTTGGAATGTTAATAGTGCATCCTTTAGATAGCTCACAGAGTTCAAATCTCCATAGCTGAACAAGAACAGGTCATTGCAAAAGTTAAATGAGTTAGCTTTAGTTTCTTGCACCTGTAATGATACTTGAAGGAAGAGTTAGAAGAGATCATTTTGCAGATGATAGCATTAAGAACTTCCATAGCCATCACAAATAAGTAAGGAGAGAGCGGATCTCCTTGTCGAAGGCCTCTGGAGCTAGGAAAACCCAGCAAGTTCTCCATTTATGTTGATGGAGAATCTAGGTGTAGTGATGCAAGTGTGGATCCACTTCCTCATCTAATAAGGAATACCAAATATTTCTAATCCTTCTAGTAAGAATCCCCAATTAATGGCATCATATGCCTTCATAATATCAACTTTGATGGCGAATCTTGGTGACCCCTTTTGCTTGTGATAATCCCTAAGTAGTTCCTGAGTAAGGAGGATATTATCACTGATCTTCCTCCTGGGAATGAAAGTTGCCTGATTTGGCCCAATAATTCCAGGGAGCACACAATTGATTCTATTTGCAAGTATCTTTGAAATGACTTTGTACAAGACATTACAACATGAGATTGGTCTGAAGTCACCCATTTTTGAGGGGTTTTGGTTTTTTGGGACAAGAGCAATGATAGTGGCATTCATCTCTCAGAAGACTGTCGTTCCTAAAGAACTCCTCAACAACTATAGTCACCTCCCTTCCCACAACAGGCCAAGCTTTCTTGTAAAAATATGAATTGAATCCATCAGGGCCTGGAACTTTCATATCATCAAACAAGAAAAACACTTATTTAATCTCTTCATTTGTAACTTGACTCACCATCTAAGCAGCTTCTTGGTCATTGATCCTAACCATAGGAAGGATTCTAGCGGGTTTCTTCTTGCTTCAGAATTAGAAGTATCCACATTACCTCCCAGTAGCTGAATAAAGAACCTTGTAGCTTCTTCCTTAATAACAGCATTTCCCTCAATGTCCATTCCATTTGCTTCCTTAAGATTAATGACTTTTTTTTTGCTCCTTCTACTTGTCATAGTTTTAAAGAAGAAGGCAGTGTTTTGATCTCCTTTCTTGAGCCACAAAACCCTTGATTTTTGTTTGAAAAAAATTTCTTCATTTCTGGCAGCTACTGAGTATTATACTAATAGTTGCTTCTCCACAGCCCTTAGTGCAGGATCAGATGGATTGGTGTCAAGCCTTCTTTGGCAGTTCTCAAGGGCAACCCTCTTCTCTTTCACCTTCACAGACCCATCCCCCAACTCCTTACTTTTATCCTTCAGTATGGTTGAGTTTCTTTAGCCTGCAGGACACATTAAATTGAAAGCATCCCTAATTATCTTCATTCCAAATAGCTGCAATAGTTAGTAAGAAGTCTTCTATGTCTGCAAGGTAGTTAAAGAATTTAAAAGGGCACTTTCTTCTCCTATTGGCTTCTCCCATTTAGATTAACACACGACTATGGTTTGATATGCCTGATTGTAAAAATTCAACCCCCGAGTGCTCAAATTGTTGGGTCCATTTTTCATTAACAAAGACTCTGTCGAGTTTTCTGTCGAGTTTTCTGGCAATGCAGGCTTCCCCTTCTCTTTTGTTCCTCCATGTAAAAAAGATACCAGAGTACCTTAATTCCACTAGTTGAGCCCCATGTATACAATCTTCAAAATCCTCCATAGCCTGAGACCATCTGTTATAGCCACCCTAGCTCTCTTGGGTGTTTCTAATGGCATTGAAATCACCCAAGAGAATCCAAGGAAGTGAACTAAATGTGGCAGGCTGTGATACTAAGTTCCTCCACAAAGTCCTTCTTTCATAATCCTCATTTGCTCCATACTCAATAGATGCAAAAAATTTGGTCCTACTATGAATGTGCAAAACACTATAGTGTATCACTTGTTTAGTTTTAGAGAGCTTGTTAACCTCTAGGGTATTGGGATTCCATCCCACCAAAATTCTCCCCAAATAGTGACTGTGAAAATTATCAACAGACTCTCAGTGCCTAAATACATTCCTTTTGACAATGTCTCTATTAACACCTCTAACTTTAGTCTCAATAATGCCCACATGGTCCACATGTTTTTCAACAATCAATTTCCTAACTTCTTCCTGCTTAGAAGGTTTATTCAGGCCCCTAATATTCCAAGCAACAAAATTAAACATCTTGGGGTTTATCTTCTGAGTATAAGATGCTCAAACATCTTGAGCAGCCCTGGAGTATGGCCTTTCTTCTTCAACTTCTTTTTCTTGTTACCATTGTGGAGTGGTTTTGGTTCTCTAGGTTTTCCTTCTAAGTTTTCTGACTGGGCATTGAGTTCCACAACAAGTTGACCTCCCTCAATTTCTAGATTACTAAATCTATTTGAAGCCGAAACAGGTTCTGGATTTGAAACAATATGATGGCAGTCAATGATGACTATAGAAGTTACCTGAATATCCTCTTGAATGGTCTGCTCTGCCAAATCACTTTGAGCTTGATCTTGATCATCGTAGCTACATTTTGGATCATTAGAATATTCCTTGGTAGCCAATTCCACTACAGTCATTATGGCTTTGCCTTTCTCGTTTATATCATTTGTAACATTCTGTGCGGATTGTTTAGGCTTCCATATTCCATTCCTTGTCAATATTGGGCAAGTAGCATCACTATGCCCAAAAACTTTGCAAACATTGCACACCTTAGGCTTCCATTGGTAGTCAACTTTAATTTCCGTAATTAACTCCTTATCATCAACATCCATTTTCAAGTCAAAGGAGTCAATGAGAGGAGTCTTAGCATCCACCTCAACACATATCCTTGCATAGATGGGTTTCCCAACTACACTGGCTATATGGCTAAATTCGTCCTCATTTCAAAATTGTAATGAAATGTTGTAGAACTTCAGCCAAACGGGAATGGAGGAGTGGTCCTCCTTTGTAAGCAACATATCAGGTTGCCAGCATTTCAATATGATTGGCCTGCCTACGAGAAGCCATGGCCTTGCCTCAAACATTGTCATTCTTGATTCCTCATTCATAAATTTGAAAAAATAGAATCCTTTGTTATTTCCCAACACCTCAAGCAACCCCATCTTGTACCAATTCTTATGAGCTAAGAAGTTTACCGTCGAGTAAGGCAACTTCTTTTCTACGAAGTATCCAACTAAGCAATTTTTCCATTCAAGGCTGCCCTTTTTTCCAACCTCTTTAGGGGGTTGAACCACTAACATATCATTCTCCTTTTGCGGTGTAAAAAACTGGAGTTTCATCCCCTAGGGCAAGGTCTCTATTGGTACTCCATTCTTAGATCCTGAAGATGCTCTTGTCTGTCCAAATTTTAACACTTGGCTCCATCTAGTGTTAGTTTTATCATTCTGCTTGAGATGATGGTTCATACCTTGTGGTTCATTAGCCACTTCAGTTGGTACCGTGAGAGAGATGGATTTGTCAACCTTTGCTCCTCCAGATTGGTTTGTTCTAGCATTACCTTCTTTACTATGGATGCTAGCTTCAGGTTCCATGCCCACAACTGGATTGGATTGGTCGGCCTCAACCTCGGATGGGGGAGCTTGTGCAGAGCTAGATTGTCGTACCAGGTATTTACTTCCCTGAACATATCGATGAAATTGACAGGGGGAAAAATCGATAGATAGCATAAATGGTGAGATTATGAGGTTATGGTGTATGGTATAGAAGGATGAAAACGGTGGATAGATTTGGAGGGGGAGGAAAAGGGGAAAATTCCAAGAATTTAGGACTTGAGATTTGGGTGCAAGAGATGTGGAAATGTAGAGGACATCAGAGATTAGGGCATTGAGGGATGATCTCACATGGTTTGGAGATGGGGAGGTGTCCATTGTGGCACCAGGCCAAAACCAGCAACAACTCTGTTCTGACCGACGATCTGTAGTGGGTGAACAGATCTAGAATAGGGGTGGTGGAAATACGAGGAGAAAGTTAAGAGCTTGATGGTGGTGTGGAGGAGTATTAGCAGTAGATCTAGTTGTGGTGAGGAATCTAGTGGTAGGCTGGGTGGGTCTAGTTTTGGAGGGGTAATCTAGTTGTGGTTGTTTGGTAGATGAGTTGGTGGTCGTATTGGTAGTGTCGAAGGTGAGGATGGAGGGTTTGATGGTGGTGTTGGAAGGGTGGTAGGAGAAAGATCTACATGCTGACGGTGGTGGGTTGGGTGGATATGGTGGTGTGTTGGGTGGTTCTGGCAATAGCTTTGTCAGCTGCAAAAGTTATCAGAGAAGCTTACCTCCCCGAAGAGTTGCTTAGGAGTGCTTGGTGCAAGGCATTCATATATCAAGAGGTTAACAAAGAATTAATGGTCTAGGGTGTTTGTACACGATAGATAAAAAGTTAACATTAAAAATTTGATATAGGATTTGACTCTCCTTCAATTTAAGTTTAAAATAAATTTTTCTTTAATTTATTATACGTTTTGGCCTAAGATTGAAAAAACTTTTAAGCTATTTTGACTCAAATTTAAATTTGAGTCAAAATTGGATGCTCTTAAATTTGAGTCCGAACTTATTTCTAAATGTTAGTTTATCATATATGAAATATATATTGCCCATTATTAAAAATACCCAAATACCTCTTCATTGTCAAAAAAGGAAAAAAAGAAAAAAGGCGACCTAAACATGGAAAACTGAAAGACTACTTCCTTGGGGGCGAGGGCTAAGGCAAGGTCGACCCAATGTCGCCTTACCTCTTTGTCTTGATTATTCCAATTTTCTGTGGGCTTTTGATAAGAGCGGTGCAACAAGGTTATTTCAAGTATCATGTTCAATATAAAAATGTAAAGATCTCTCATTGTTGTTTTGCAGATAATTTGACTCTTTTTTGTGAAAGATAAATAGGGTCTATTTTCATTATTAAAGATTGTCTTAACTCTTTCAAAGTAATGTCTGGACTCTCTCTTAACCCAGACAAGAATTAGAGAATGACTTGTGGGAGAGCAATGAATGTGAAAAGGCAAATGCTAAATCATACACATCATACACCACATACAACTCAACCTTCTTTATTCACACCCACGCAAATATAACTAGCATACAACCCAACCTTCTTAAGTACACACACATACATGACATACATCACACATATTCCCCTGATGTACCATTAGTAAATCAGAAATACTATTTGAAACCTGCTATCAAACAAAGGGTAAATTACATTCAAATAATATTATTCTTAATACAAGAGGAGGTGTCAGGGTTACGGCCAGGGCGGTGTTCATCCTCTTGCATTCACACCTTGTGGGTTTGTTTTGCTATGACGGCAGCCATGACGAGCTTGAGTGAATCTTCAAGATCATCACACAGCTGATGTGGGTCTGGAATAGTTTCTTCATCGGCTGATAGAACGAACGTCAATTTGTCCACATAACTAACCACATGAATCATCAGTGCCTAAAATACACGTTGATTGGCAGGGATTAATACAAAACAAACCCACATAAATATACATATATATTGAGACTAATACAACTCGACACGTGATTGATTTAAAGACATCTTGGCTGACTCAACCAAGTCATCCTAGTCATCATTCCACGACACCATGATACTGTTCCGTGATCAATGCTATAACTTGGATATTTAGTCATGTCTAACTTTTTCATCTATGCATTTTCTGTAAATCACTTGATACCTACCCTTCCTCCTAATTCATGGTGGATATAAATATGGGTGTGTTTGTGTGTGTGTTGCAAAAACAAATTTGATGCCACAAAGAATGAGAACATACGTTGGGCTGTCCATAACAAGTCGGAGCAATATAGGCTACCGGATGGCCGAAAAACGCAACTTCTTCTTGGGGTCCAGGTACGTTTGAGAACCACAGTGTTGTGTTAGAAAAAACCTTGTGGGAAAGCTTGCCTGCAGCCTGCTCATCAAGGTTGAAAGTGAGTTTTTAACTACTCTATAATCACTAAAAACTCATTTATGTTACTAATTCTTGAACCAAAAAAGTATTCCAGCTATTTAAAGGAAGTTCTTTCAATCTAAACCATTTATTCCGGGTAATACTCCATTGAGTTAAAAAGAGATCGATAATAGAGGCTAAATGATGAGACGTTGATACGACAAATAAAAATTCAAATTTTAAATAAATAAAAATGAGGCAAAAAAACATTTTTTTATCAACTCCAGAACATTTGGTTCTTGTTCTTTGGTATTTTTAGGAGAGATGACTTGAGAAGTTTTCCCTTCTACTTTTCTTAATTTCTAGAATTTTTATTTAATTAATTTTGAAGTTAGGTATTCTTTAATCAACAACCAACATTTAGCCAATATAATTATCTTTTCACTATATTACCAATTAACCACCCTTCATTCAATTTATTTTTTTTTAAAGAAAATTCAGTTTCAATCCCTTATAAATTTTAATAATTCTTGAACTACTCATTTGTGTGACAGGAAAATAGAGAGTTTGGAAGGGTGTGAATGAATGAGGTGGAGCAAAACAGAGTTATAAATTATGTGTATCACACGAGGCGCCCGCTATTATAATATATATAAAACTAACAAATTAGATGGGAGAAGACTTGAAGAGTCTTCCCTCCCTCTTTTCTAAATTCCTAGAGTTTTGATTTATTTAATTACCAAACTAAAATTCCCTTGAATCATAGTACACCATATGTCCTTTGTAACCACTCCTCAAGTCCCTACTAAGTACTAACTAACAACTATTTCTTCAAATTTTTTCAAACATGATTATTTTTACTACCTAATATTTTTTTTATTTAATGTCTTAAGCGATTAGGTGAAAACGAAAAAGAAATAGGTGAAAAGATTATAAAAAAAACCAGGGGGTCTGACCCTAATGTTTAGTATCATATTTATTTACGAGCCAAACAAGTTATTGTGTGGACCCAACTCATTTATTAAACAAGCTTTAAAATTAAGCTCGAACTCAATTCATTTAATAAATAAGTGAATTTTAATAAGATTTTTCAGGACCAATACCAAGTTATTCCCGAACAGTTCGACTCATTTGCAGCCGTATAAAGGAGAAATTGAACTTCTCTTCACAAGTATTCATGATACTAGCTCTAAGTTAAATTCTTCTACATGTGATTGGATTCAAAGAGGGATAGTTGTTTTTATATCTGGAGTTGTCAATGCTATTGAAGTTATTACAAAAGTGTGTTTAAGCTATCGGCCAATAAGATGGCCGCCTAGTATTCCCAAATGAAAAAATATATATTGGATTCTATCAAACTATATAATTTGACTTATTTTATAAACAAAATATTATGACAAAGTCCCAGAAATATTTTGCAGTACTATATGCAAAAACATGGTTTTTAAGACCTAAAAACAATAAGAAAGCCACATTTAGTAAAAATAATTGTTCCTTAGGTTTTAGGGGGCTAAATGTTAATAAAATTATCTTAGGTCATTGTTTACATCTGGCCGTCCGGTATGATGATTTATTTACCTTAATGCCAAACAACTTGAGGATTAACTTAACAATCCAGTGACTATAAATAGCTTCAAGTGAAGTCTTCTTTTGACTCATAATCGCATTAGCTTCCCTTACATACTCCAATGGATCCTCTCGGAATGCAATGGTGAAGGAGAGGATGACATAACCGATCTTGTTACCCATCTGGCCTTTGTACCCTTCTCCATCATATTAACTAGATCCTGAATACCAAACACGTGAGAAAAGAATAGGATAAGGATGATATACAAGTTTACTAAAAATAATAATTGCAGTCGAGTATACGAGAGACTCCAGTTTAAGAATGGTTTCATGTAAACATATGCAGTCTTACTTTCCTATGAAGTAACATTTATATTGTGCCCAGGCTCACCTCTAAAAATGTTTGAGAATAAATTTTGTATCAAACCCCGATCAGTACCATGGGTGGGTACCATCATATTATTACACCGGATATGTACCTATCTGTTATACAACTCAGCTACTATATATTTTAATGCTAGATATTTACCTACATATTATACATGGAGTGAGATCTCCTCTAACCCTTTTTTCCTCAATTTTTTTTGAATACATATTGAGTGATCTATCAATGATAAAATGTATATTTGAGAGGATCTGGATTTGGATCCGTGTTATATATCCCTTTGTTAGGCTGCCCTAAACGAACTAGTGGTAATTAACAAGAAATAATCACTTACATAAATCCCTGCAGACGGTCTTAAATTCATGAAAAACGTTGCTCTAAGACGAATGTTCTTCGGAAGGTTATTTTTCTTCACCGCTTCCCCCTGGTTTTTTCCCTCACCTGCCATGTTGGAGAATTTATCAGTGTTAGAATGACCCACTCAATCCTATGTGTGCTACTTCAACATGCTTTCTTCCGAGCGGGTCAGATTCTGGGCTAAAGATGGGTAAGTTTGGTAATTTTCTATCCATACAAATGGTTTTTTGGTGGAACGGCCCTCAACCTTATAAACCAACTTCGGAAAGTCCAAATTTTTCGACATGCAATACAAATTCTCTCCTCACCCTCCTTTACTTGCGATTCTGAACCGCACGTGGTTAATAAAACAAAATCAAAGACAGACAGACAAATATTTCTCTAAGCTTAATATGCAACGTCTAAACTATTGATTGAAAGAGTCACTAATTTGGCTATTGTTGGAAGTAATCTGAGATATGAAAACTCACCATATCTCCTGTTGAGATACTTTGAAATGCCAGCTTCTGTTACTCCAAGAACTACATCGTTAATTGTCTGCAAACTCATAACCAAGTATTTTATTTTTCATAACTTGAAATTATTGTATACATTATTTTTCAGAAAACTTATGAATAAGAACTTGTAGGGAAGAAAAATAGAGAAAGGAAAGGTAAGGGATGGAGCAAGTTTCTTTTACTTAGATTGGTTAGTATTTTTTCAGAACATTTACGTAACAATCAAATTTTTGTTTTAGTGCATAGTCAGTCAATTCGAAAACAAAAAAAAAAATTAAAAAACATTTTGGAAATAAAGATAAAGTTTGGAGTTTTGATTCTAAAAAATTGGTTAGAACATTCTGATACATCACAAAATATTCTAAAATAGGGGAATTTTGAGGTTCTATCACTGATTTATATTAACAATTATGATGCATTTATGCTGAATGCTTAAACAAAACTCACAATATTCATGGCTCTTTTCACCAACTTCACATCATCCAGACTAACTGTTCGATGAACAATGCGCCGAGGATTGTTCTCAACACCTGGCGGACCTTTCAGAGGAGTTTTCGTGTCCTTCAAAAACAATGCAGTGAGTACAAACATCACCACATCAACGATTGTGTTCCATACCATCATCATCATCATCAGAACAAAACCAAGCCCCCAAGATTTTGACAAATTCGATTTTTTTGTCACGATCGTACAACTTGGAAAAGCTTCAGGATCAGATGTTTTACGAGTGCAAGCAAGAAAAAGAGACATAAGAGATGCACCGTCGCCGAGGGAGTGGTGGACGCGGAGGACACCTACCGCCTCGGCGTCGGATGTTTTGACATTGAGGATGTGGAAGTCCCACATAGGTTTCGACTTGTCAATGGTAGATTTACTCAGGTTGCAGATGTAATCCTCGACAAACTTTTCATCAGGGTAATCAATGTGGGGGACTATAAGGTGGTTATCCATGTCCACCTCTGTTTGAACCCATTTAATCTCTCCACCACTTTCTTTGCTCACAACCTGTAATGATTGTAGTGCTGTCGATAGTCAAGAGATTCAAATTGAAGAAAGAAGTACTCAAATTTGAAATAAAACACAAAACATAACAATATCTCAGCTTGGTTACATCATGGGGCTAATCTTATGTCTTATAGTTTAATCTGCGATGATTGTACCTATCCGGAGTTTTTATGTAAAATGTGTAAAAATCTTGTTGTTCATACCTGCAAACTAGAGAAACGAGGGTGTTTCGCCAGAGTAAGCCCCAGATTGGCTTTAAAAGCATGAATATCAAGAATTTGGGTTTTCAAGCCAATTTTAGTAATGATATAAATGTTGCAACCAGGTTCATGAAACAAACGAGCCATAGGACTCACTGGTTCTTCTTCTTCCTCACCATTAGCAATCGTACATTGTCCATCTGGTTTGGCAATTCGAATACGTTTGAGATCTTCGAAACCTGGTATGACATCCATGAATATGTCTGATTGAGAGCTTTGGATCTTTTGAATGGATCTCACTGGGAAGCAGGGGAATTTGAAACAAATTTAGTGTTAGTAGTTGTAGTAAACGAGGTTCTCCCTCTCTATATTTATACTAGTGTAGAAGATGTTATGAGGCGTGCTTGAATGAGCCCGTGTGAAGTATGCTGCCATGTGTTGCACGAGAAATATTGGATGTGACCGTTGTCATATTAACATTCAATAAAAACCTAACTAATGAGTGATACCGTCTTATTTCAGTCATGTTATATTTACATTCAATAAAAACCTAACTAATGAGTGATATCACCTTATTTTAGTCACGTCATATCAACATTTAATAAAAACCTAACTAATGAATAACCTTCATATCACCTTATTTCAATCACGTCATATCAACATTTAATAAAAACCTAACTAATGAGTAAGTAGATCCCACAAAATTTAGTAATTACATGTTAATGTAAAGTAATTGCAACCTCACATAGGAGTTCAATTTATCCATTTGAAATTAGGGAAATACTATGTAACTCAAATTTGGGATACAATTTGAGTTATAAATTTGAGTTACATAGCATTGTTCTTTAAATTAATACGAAGTATTGATGACGTGGTATCACTACAACATTAAATATTTACTCATGTTGAAGTTAGGGTTCCACTTAGTAAGGGTGGCAATTTTCGGTACAACACGATAATTTAACTCAAACCCGACACTAAGTTAGCGATTTAGGGTTGACCATTTTTTAGTATAAACAAAAAAACAAAGCGACTAACTAATACAAATAATAATTAGGGTTGATTAGCGTCAAACATGAATAATCCGAAATTGACATGATTAATACGCATAACTAATATTATAAGAATAAAATCTAAATTATTGTTATTTTTTATCAAGTATTGACATGAATCTTTGTAAAATAAGAAAAAATTTTTACACATTTTAAATCTTATATGGATTTGGTAAAGACAATAGGTTCAAACTTTTAGATTTTTGATCCACGAATTATATTGGTCAATTAGAACACATCATGATAATAAATATCTCGAGTTAATGTCGTAATATTTAACATGATTAATTAAAGGAAAAATTTCATCCACACCCCCTGTAATTAGGTCTTAATCCAATACACTCCCTCCCGATCTTAAAACTTCAATGTCACCCCCTGCCAGTGTTTATCGGGTTACAACATTAACAGTAATTGTTAATTTATAGAAATACTCCTAAATATTTTATAGGATAAATTTTATCCATACCCTCTTGTAAATAGATATAACTTCAACGACACCCCTATAAATAGGCCTATTTTTAACAATAACCCCTCCCGATTTTAAAATTTTAATGCACTCCCTTTTAGTTTTATTATATTAACATTTAAGTTTATCAATTAATATTTAATTTTATCAAATTAATGTTATTTATTTAATTTAAACTAAATTAATATTTCATCTCATCAAAGCAACACAAATTGATATTTAATTTTATCAAATTATCATTTAGTTATATTAATTTAATATTTTATTAAAGTAAAATTTAATATATTAAATTCCATTAATTTAACATTTAACCTTATCAAATTAATGTCAATTATTTAATTTAACACCAAATGAACATTTAATTTCATTAAAGCAACATTTAAATTTATTCAATTAATATTAAATTTATCAAACCAACACTGATATATATATTAAATTAACACTAAATTAATATTTAAATTTATCAAATTAAGACCAAATTTATTT